GAACAATGATTAAAAAGGGTCAGCAACATAGATTTTTATAGGGAGAAAGCAGTGCAGGAAGAAATTAAATAAATTGTAGAAAAGTACAGCTAAAGAAAAAAATGGGTCCTGAAAAAGAAAAGAAACTGGCAAATGTAAATGATAAATAGAATAGTCAGTCTATTAGATAGTTCTAAGGTGTGGGAGTCAGCTTTCCTGAACTGGTGCCCTGTCTGCCTTTCACCAGAATTGGTTCCCTATCTGCCTTTCACCTAGTGATTTTGAAAAAGATGCATTCCCTTTTAGTGCTTCAGCTTCCTTATCAGCAAAACAAGGATATAAAATACACATCTCACAGAGAGCTAAGAAGACCTTTAATTTGTGATATAGAAGCAAAGACGATAATCTACTGCTATTAGAGAATGAAAACTTACTTTGTTTTTTACTATTTGGTATGCAAATGTAACCATAACTGAGAAAAGTTCCACTGTGCCTGATACAGTACAAAAACATAGAGAGAAAATAATTCTAACATTGAAAGTTACAGATATTAAAAATTATGGGGAAAACAAAGGTACATGACAACTTCACCAAAAAAAAAATCTTAACATTGTAGACCACATACAAGCACACGCACTGAAGTAGGTTTTTTGCGTGTGAAGATGGAGAACTGTAGTACAAATAGAACCAGCGTAGAATTAACATTGTTTTCCCAGTTTCAGAGATGTCATTTAGCAAGAAAACAAACAGTGGGATTTTGAGAAATATAGACCACTGAAATCAGGGGCAATGAAAAATCTGAGTTTTTTTCATCTGAGAACAGCTAGTGTGAGATCATTGCCTTTCGTGAAAATAATAAATGCTTTTTATTTTATTCCAAACAGGAAGCAAGAGAGGCTGCTGAAATTTGAGGGTGGTCAATAGTGACAAAAGTAGCCAAGAGAAAGGAAGAGAATTTCATAACTAAGAAAAAATCCATAATTTGAGAAAAAAAAAGCATGTATCAGGAGATGAAACTACTAGCCGACAGCAGATATGGCTTAGAATTTACTTTTACATATCTTTCTTTCTAATTCTTGGACAATACTAAGGTTTTCTTTGTTGTTCCCAAAGAAGTAGCCCACCAGACCCACCAGACATGTAATGGACCTGTAAAACTATTTCCTTCCCACACTCAGATCAGATAAGTAGATCTTAAGAGGAGAAAGCACTGAAATATTCCTTTGCTTTCTGCTTCTAAAAAGAGTTGTAATGTATGTTTCTTAGATCATGAGGAGGCAAGAGATGAAGGACCTAATAAACCCCTGAAGACAGCATTCTCCTTTTTCAACAGAGCTATTTCACAGGGATGTTTGGCTCACAAGGGTAACAATATTTTCAACAGATATCCCATGTGCTCTCCAAGCTTTTACCTTCAGGAGGTTTTAATCTAGTGAGCAGTTACCCATTTAGGTTCTCCTTCACAATAGGCTCTTCTTTGTTTTAGTACCACACAGCTTTGGTCATGTTCCAAAGTTTTTTTAAGGAAATAATTCAATGGACTGCTATATAGCTAATTTATGCATAAATTACTGTCAACCTCATGGACATCTACCGAGGCTCACTGTGATTGGAACTAATAACTATTACCAAGACATGATAATTTCATTTAACATTAGGAAACCATCTGGTGCTTTTATTTCTTGTTGTAACACAGTGCCACTGTTTTACTCAATCCACTCATTAAAACAAGACAAAGTAGCCAAGGAAAAACATACACACAGATGATAAATTTAGCCTCTCAATCATCTTTGTGCAGCCCCCACTCCTGGAACTCACTCTCTTAGATTTTTGAAGTAGGAGGGGACAACTAAAATCTAATTTGAGCTGCTGTATGATGAAGGCTATCTATTTCATCTAAATCAAAAGAGTAACACTCTTGGGCTATGCTGTATCTGTCTTCCTCATAATGGCTGCACCTGATGGATGAATCCAACCCACTCCTAGATAAGTTGTATCAGTGCTCAATTACTCCCACTCTTAAAAATATGCACCTTATTCTGGTCTGAATTTGCCTAACTTCAGCTATGAAACATTGGATCTCATTACGCCTTTTTCTGCTAGATTAGAGAGTCATAAGGCACTTACAAACCATGATCAAGTCACTTAACCTTCTCTTCAGCAGATTAAACAGACTGATCTTTAGCCTCTAACTGCAACGCTTATTTCCATACCTACAGTCATTCTTTCACCTTTAATGAACATTTTCCAATTTTAAACATATTTTCAAAGTGTGATCACCAGAACCGGACACAATCATTCAGTAGTACTTTCCTTAATGCCATATAAAAAGGCAGTGTTACTTCCCACTTGATATTCAGTTGTTTATATATCAGAGGATACAATATATACCATTTAAACCCATTTTATTGGATTCTTTTTTGAAGTACTTTTTGTATTATTTAGTATATTCTATGAGTTATTCCATTCTAGCAAATTCCACTTAAAGTCTTATTTTAAAATATTTTCTTACATTTTCTTTTTTTTCATGTAAGGAAATTACATTCCTGAAGCAATTTTCTCATACAAAACAGAAGTATATTTTTAAAACACAGAAATAAAGATGTACTATATTGACCAGAATTATAGTATTCCATTTTCTCATAACTCAACATCATTAGGTAAATATATTAAATATTACTGTAAGGTTTACTGTAATAGACTGTATACACGTTTTCGTTTATCTTCCATGGAACACATATTTAATTAGCTTGTATTCCTTACTCAGGTAGCTCTAGTGAATAGCATTTACATCAAAAAAACTGTAATGTCCACCTGGAAGTTGCTTCAGACACTAAATGAATCAATTCATTTACTTTTCTATTTGAGCATGATTTTCACTTATTGACTAATCTGCAAGAGCAGTTGTAGCTACTTCTAATACCTAAGTTTGGATTAATTTCATTAGTAAGTAATATCAATTTATTTATATACTACTAGATAAGACAGTAAACAACAGAAAAATATTTCAAATCATTTGGTTGCTTGCTGGAACAGAAGTTCTTAACTATTGGTTCATTTTCATGTCACAAAACACTTACTAACCATGATCTGCTCACACACAAAGTCCAGAAAATATGTTTTTTCAATAGAATAAACCTTAATTTGACCTAAAGTTCATCAGCTAAATAAAGAAATCCTGTGTTTTGTTCTAATTTCTCTTTTTCATTCATAGTGAAGGAGAAGAATTCATTACTATAATAAAAGCAATACTAAATTATGTCATCTGACACCATAGCTATGTTGTGTGTAAGTCTAGGTTATTTCAACTGCAAACAAACATCTTCAATGCAGGATGTGCAAATACTATTTCAGCAGTAGTAAGTCCTCTCTAGTTCTTGGATACAATATATATACAATATAATATACACAAAGTATATCTAGATAAATGGAAACAGAATAATAAAGAGAGCAAAAAGGAATAATTGTGCAGAAAAGGGAGTACTATAGTAATATGCAGAGGGCAAAAACATCCAGAGAAAGAGGAAGAGTCTCTGTGCACTTAGAAAACCCACAGATTATGGGTATACAAAACAAGGTAAGAGGAGTGAATAACATAGAAAATTAAGGATGTTCTCATTAAATAAGGAAAACTAAAAATTAGGAAGAGTGTAGAGAGAATTATTTTCTGGCAACCAGAAAGAAAATCACTGCTAATCTAAACTTGCTTTCTTATATTTTAGAGCCCACAATTTGAATCTGAAATAGAATAAAATCGAAGTTTTCTGCCAGACTAAAATTAAGTGAAAGCCCTGTAGTGTTTTTTTGTAATTCACTAAATACCTTGTGTCATTTCTTTCTGTCTTGAGACATAAATCATTTTGACTCTTTTAAAAAAACCTCAGTCTTTAAACTTTCAGTGATGTTACTTTTAATGGCTTCACATATTTCCTGATATGAAGAGACCTCTAATTGATTAGTTACTTCTATCAGCTTCATTAGCTCCTTTTCCAACAAGTATTCTGAGGAAAATACTCAGAACTTTTCCATTTTATGTTTTAAGTTAAGTAGCCTGTAGCATTCTGAGATACTGGAGTTGAACTGATTTTTGTTTCCAAGCAGAAGGTGAAAAGCCTAAAATATTATTGGTTTTTTTAAATTAAAACTATGTGTACACTTTGGCTCTGAGGTCATAAGATTAAATAGTGACTATTTAGCCTTGACATCTAAACAAACTTTGTACTCAGTGAATTTGATGACAGAAAACGAGCACACAGTCTGCAATTTCTGCACCAGTTTACAAGTTACCCCGGTCCTCAGTTTACCTAATTTCAAATGCCAGTCTAACGGTCAATATAGAGTCAGAACTTTAGATGATAGCATAATAACTCTTAAAACCAGAGTTAGAGAACAAACCATCTTCTCTCACTTCATACATACCTCTCACTAATTTAAGTCCACTTATGTGCTTGATGAAGCTAGAAAAGAAAGATTTCTCTCTAATTCAATAGCGTATTTCATTATACTTCAAATTGAATTGTCTTAGTAACAGGTTAAAAGGAACAGAAAAACTGGAATAATCTGAGCTTTTTATATGGAACCCAAATTTCATTCAAAAGTTTCTCAAAATTGCAATGTCCAAAAGGTTTTTCTCAGTCCAGCCGCTAATATCCTTCATGTTGCTTGAGAAAAGACTACAACTAGGTATAATGCTGCTGAACTAAAACTACAAGTTTTAATCCATCAAAACTTATCTTGTACACAGTTATAGGAGACCTGAGCAAAGTGTTCAGCTTTATTCATGTACTTCACTGCTATAAATTCAATTCTTTTAAAAAAAAATCAACAAAGAAACTGCCTTTTGTTTTCTATGAGAGATTTTGCGTTTGATTCCTTTGCTGTCTTGCTAATCCTCAAAAAGAATAGTTTTTCAGTTGCTTTTGACAGCAGTAGGAATCAAACCTGTTGCCCATCAGCAAGGTGCAAAATCTTTACCCCACAATCAGGATATAACATCTTCTCGAACAGAATATAAAGCTTACCTTGAAGAAAGTCATGGTTGCTCCATCTTCAACTGCCCCATACTCAATCTTTGTCTGCTTGGCCAGATCATCAGCAGAATCAATAGGGGATTCCATACGTTCCACTGTCAGAAAGGCGGCTAGGTTAGCAGTGTACGAGGAAATGATGATAAGTGTGAAAAACCACCAAATGCCTCCCACTATCCTGGTGGAGAGGGCTTTAGGCATGAGCTCAGAACCTAACGGAAACCAGGGGAGAAAGGTGAAACTGATGCACAGAAAACAATTAATAAGTATTCAACACTTTTTGCCACAGTGGGGAGATGGAATCACTGTGCAAAAAAATCTTTCAGCTACAGGTTTACATGTACTGCTTGTGCAAACACACACGTCTGAAATAAAAAATAACTGGTTAAACTTATAAACACATCTTTTTGGAGCTATATGGGAATCAAAAGATAGTAATGGGAGATTCAGTGATCAGTGCTGTTTTAAAATTTATAAACATATATAGATATATATACATATCTCATTGTGGAAAAAAAAGCAGTTCCTTGTTTTCCAGAAAAAATCCTGGGTGGACTGAACCTCTAATACTAATATTGAAGCCCTAATACAGTTCTTTATCTTGACAGCACTAAAAAAAAATTATTTAAGTATTTTGTGTAAAACTCACTTGCAGAAACAAAAATAAGCTGTTGAATAAGGGACCAGATATGAAATAAAATATTTCATATCTGAAATAAAAAATCTGAAATGTATTATAGATATGTTTTGTCTTCTGCATTGCTGTAAAGGATTGTTTATTAACTGTTAAAATAAAAATATAGACATCTCCCATCTCTATGGTTAGCCCCATAATTTCATAAAAATATGGGTGGCTATGCCACACTCTTCAATTGAATAGACTAGCAATAAAAACATTAGACTGCTATGCATAAACTAAATAAAGATAGATTATAATGCATTGCTGGAGTTGCCTGCTCATGGTACTAAAGAACGGAGGGGGAGACAAACACTGTATATTAATGTGCATAATTTTAATGCTAATTTAGAGTCTAATGAGACAAATTGAAGTACATAAGCAATTCTTGTGCCAAATTACTAAAAATAGGAAAAAATGAAATTCAATCTAATATACAATCACAAATATTTATTATAAATGAGAATGGATGGATTTTTTCCAAAATGTTATAACTGAATGGAATGAAATTTCTAATGATATCAAATAAACAATTTCCAGCTTCATTCTATAAACTTCATCTAAGATCTTTTTGTATCTGGAAACTTGTTCCAGTTTTACCATATCTGCTATATCCCTTTTGGTTAATTGGTTACTACTCTTGCTCTTTAATCTCCTGGGTAAAATGGAATGAAGGCAAGATGGACTATTTTATTCCTGTTAAATTTTAGTGTTTAAATTGAATTAGTTAAGGAACTGGTCCAGCAAGGTAACACATCTTCAAATAGTTTAAAGATTATGTCAAACTTCCAAAGTCAATGTAAAAAAAAAAAACAGAAGGATTGGGGGAGGGAGGGAAGAAAGGAGGGAGGGAGAGAGGAAGAAAATCAAAGAAAAGTAAAAAAGAAGTGGTATCATAACTGGACTACTGTATTCAAAAACAGCCCATCTTACCCTGCAGTTCATCTTACCCTTGCTGTTTCAAACAAAAAAAGGCTGACAGACTTGGACATGACAGCCAACTCCAGCGCCAGATTCTGCCTAGAATTCTGCAAGGAAAAAAGTAGAAAAGTACCTTTCTGATGTAGTTGCTCCTAGGCCCTGTTAGTCAGACACTTAGACACCATAACACTAAGAGATTTCCCAGTAAGATCACCATCATGAACTCTTTTCAATTGCTCTTGTTTCATTTAAAAACCAACACCAGTAAAATCAGATAGGACTGGGAAGAAAAGAAGAGTGGAAACATTCGCCGCAGTTGCCCCAGTTACCACAAGTTCGTACCTTACCAAGGAATGAAACAGAGTGCCACCTGGGCCCATGAAACAGAGCCTGGTCAGGGGCTGACTGTCATGTACCCAAGGTAACGTCATGTCCAGCACTACATCCCACAGTTTCCTGGGAGTGAGGGGTGCCAGCAAGACATGTATGAGTTCCCTCTATCATGTACCCTCCATCACTAAGCAAATGTTTTGTAAAGAAGCAGCACTTAATAAGTTAATGTGAATATTGCCCAAGCACTTTTATACTGTTTCTAATGGAAAATTATTGTGGTTAGGTGAGAACTTTCATGCTTGTCTAAAAGCGTACTTTTAGATGACTTCAGGGTTTTGGGAATTTTTTTTTTTCAAGCAGTCATCAAAATCAAGACTGACAATTCATCCTTAGAATGGTGCCTTCAAAGTTTATTAAAGGATGAACTGAGAAAGAGCAAAACAGTATAAGGTAAGGACAGAGACTGGTTTTCCTTCATGGAAAACTATTGTCCTCCAAAGACATCTTTTAAAATGAAGGTTACAGGTTTTGTTCTTATTTTGATTGTCAACAAATGTTCAGATGCTAGGGACTAAAATACCTTTTTCTTGCTAAATGATGATGCAAAACCTAATTGTTTTATCTTCTCCAGAAAGATGAAGAAGCATACACTCACATAAGGAATAAAACTCAGCACTGATAGTGATTCTGGCAATCCTGAGAACGGTGAATGGAATCCAAAATACCTACTTTCATTCAGTATTCCTTTTTTTGATAGCTTCTTTGAAAGCAATTATTATCTTACAAACACGTATTTGGGAGTGATGCTTCAACTATATAATTTCTTGAAAGGTATATTGACAACCTAGTTGATACTAAATACTTAGCCAACTACAGCTGTATTTTTATTTCTGATCTGGAATCTTGATTTCTTTTTATCCATTAATTCATGTTTTTCTGAGCATAGCACACTTTTTGCTGAGGTCTTAGAGACTTTTAAAACCTAACAACCTGATACATGAAAGAATATTTACTGCACTTACAGAAAAGCCCCATGAATTCATTTGAAGAGTTAAAAACGGTATTTATTTATAGTTGGTGTGCTTATAATGGGAAGTTTTAAAAATGACTGTGCAGGTATATCCATTAAAACAACTATACCAATATGCACTCGCTCCCACCAACCTTTTATATGAATTTTTCAAGATATGCAGTGGTTATTTTTTCCAGAAAGTCATTCCTTTTAGTGGTTCTTCAACCGGACTAACAATCTATACTGTACTGCCCAATGAAATGTCAGAGCAAAAAGTTGAATCTGTGCTATTCAAATGTGCCTGAAATTATGTGACTGCGTCCAAATCCTTATGGAAAAGGGTAATAAAATGGTGATATATTTTTATGGATCTATATATTTAGTATACTTTCAAAATAAAAGGAATATGATAAGGAAAATTACAGATTTTGAAGAATATGGCTTGACTTAAGGATTTTACTAGGACAGTGCCAGTTAAAACTGATTGTTGGTTTTACTCTGAGCAATATGACTACAGAGCTACCAATTTTATTGTCAGTAATGACATCAGTTTCTCAGTGCATGCATTGTATAATATAGACTGTTTATTTAAATCTTTAACAATGGTTATTCTGATTTTAAAAACGTAAATTGTGGTGAAAAGAATTAAATCTCTTATATTTATCATTTTATTTTACAAGTACTAGCTACTAGATGAAATGTGTCTGTTATTGAAAGGTTTCTAGACCAAAATTAAACAAATGAGAGATTTTTACATTATACTCTTGCCTGACAAAGATGTACTCTTTTTTAGATTGTTTAAATGAAGGTTTGTTAGGTAATGGACAGATTAGCTCATTTTCTTATGCAGTAAGTCTTTGCTGTTTAGGAAATAAACTAAGACTTATGCTCTACTTTTAAGTTTTAAAATTTATATCTGTCTTCAGACTAATTCTTAAGATGGTGTTTGGAAATGCCTGGATATATCAGTATAAAAAAGCTGATTTGTGGCTACATGCACAGAGGCACCCATGCAAATGACTTGCGCCAGAGAGCTGTTACCCCCAGCAAAAAGTGGGACATGGCGCCCAAGAGAAAGAGCAGACTGAGTCGTATACCTTGCTGCATGAGAGCTCCAACTCCAAACCAGAAACTATTTAGCAAGGTAAAATTGTTTTCCACCACGTCTGAATCAGGGTTGCAAGGATGTGGATTATACCACTCATAGGGACTAAACCTGTGGTAATTGACAGAAAAAAAAGAACAGATTTAAAATGCAGCCAGCACAAAGTCTATCCGGCAAATCTGCTGCAAGAGAAAAACAAGAAAGGTTATAAAGAAAATAGCGATTGAAAGTTTTTACAGTATGACTGCATTATGCTCAACAGCAATATTAAAAGATAAAACAACATTAAATATTCACATTCTTAACTATTGTTAATATTAATGAAGTTTTATACAGATTGGCTCTGAAAGGTTCCAAGTCCCACCTGTAAACATCAAAGCACTTATTCTTCTATTAATATCAATAGAATTACAGACATTTGGTACCATTTAGGATTAGGTTCGTATAAACACTGTGTCAGTATTTTGCATTTTGAAAGAAACTATAATATGTATTAAATCACAGTAATTAACTAGAAAAAAATACATTAGGCAAAGGGTTTTACTCAGCAAAATTGCAAATAATGAATATAGGAGAAAACAAATAGTTAGCAGTAAAAGCGATACTGTTAATCACCAAATAAGGGTATTAAACTCTATAATTCACAGAAAATTAAAACAGCAAATTAAAGGGATTGCATCCTGTCCTGTGAGGTGCACAGTAGCATCCCTGGAAAGGCTTTCCAAAAGAAGCTGGGGACATGCACAAGCACCTTGCAGGGCCAGGCTCTGAGAAAAGAAAAGAAAAAAAAAAAAGGAAAAGACAGTGAAATTAATTATCTCAAAAAATAGATACAACAAAGATAGTAGAAAGATGTACAAGTCTGGTAATAGATTACAAGCAGATTATGTACAATCAATTTGTTTTAACTCATGGCTTTGCAATTGCTGCGCATTATGATGGGTTCATATCTAAACGTTACTTTATCAATTTTAGCTAAAACAAGCAAACATGTCTAGATAAATTATTCTTTGTTACCATTTCTTTCAGAAAAGAAGAGACTTTCAGTTCTCTCTTCCTCATTATACCTTTGTAGAGCTTTAAATTTTAATTCCACTGTGCAGAATTCTAATCATTTAAGAGATTTAATCATCATGCCTGAACTTGGAAACACACTGTTGATAGGGAATTTTATTTTATGCTTAAATTATGTCTTTAAATCTTTGATAATGAATACAAGTTAATGTACGTGCATAATATATTTGTCAAGAAGAAAAAGAAAATCGCTACAATACAGTAGAATGGAACCAGCACAAGAAAGCACCACAATAATTAATAATATTGCAGAGTTTAATTATTAAATCAGTATTAATATGTTTTCATAATTTCTCAAATCATTAAAGCCACTCTGTTAAAAACCATGGGATAGGCAGCTTTTACAAAAGAACTTCTTTTCTTATGTATCTTATAATCAAAGCTATCTGAATAATGCATCTGTCACTTTGAAAAATGCAATTTTCTATGCAATAATATTTCAAACACATTATAATACAGAAAATCAAATGTTTCACATTTATGCTCTTCATGTAATGTTAAAACACCTCTCGTCTTAGAAGTGTGTACTTGACAAAGAACTGTTTCATTTGGATTTCCAAAATAATACTGATATGCTGTTCAAAAATATAGATTGGATTCTAATTAAACATTGTGACCTGAATTCTTCTATTACTTTGTAGTAAAACTACATCAGAAGTTTTCCATCTCATTAAAAAGCTAAGTATCTTTCATGTCATGTTGTTGTCAATCTGACAAAATCTGGAAACCAAGCACTCCATGAAGCTGAAGCAGGTTTTATATTCTTTTGCTGAGATATATTTGAAGATTAAATTGGAAAATATGTTTTTCTTGGGAGGACAATGTTTGCTAGATAAAGCCAATATATTTTAGAGATTTAAAATAAATATCAATATCCAAATGTTACTTTATGTGATTACTGAACAATATAAAATGTAACTTGATAGTTTTACCTTTTTGTTCTGATATCTTGTCTTGTTGGATTATTTTTATATTATTATGAAGTGCAAAAAAATTGTCCATAGTTTCAAAGAAAGTCAAAACCAACCTGACACACAAGTTGGCTTTAGGAAAAAGAAACAATGCAATCTGAATCCTAGACTCAGTCTAGGGTCAAGTCATGTCCCCTAGTTTTAGAATTCCCTATTTTTTAATCTTCAGTCCACAACATCGAATATAAAATGTCGGGGGTGGGGTTTTATGCATCCAGAGGAGTTTTTAAAATGGCATTAAAAAAAAAAAGAAAAAGAAAAGAAAAGAAAGTAAGGAAAAATAATACTGAACTATGGATAAATATTTTTTCACCTTATTTTAGTGTGTGATGTTACATTATCTAGTGTAAGAATCTTAAAGTACAGATCCTTTAATCAACATTTTGTATGTACTACATATGCATATAATTTTATGCTGTTAAGCCTATTGCAATAAATATTTGTAAATTACAGATTATAGAATAAATTTAAGTTCACTCATCAGGTCTTATAATCCAACACCCTGCTCAAGGCAAAGTCAACCACTAATTCAGAACAGGGGGCTGTCCAGTCAGGTCTCAGAAACGTCAAAAGACAAAAATTCCACAACTTCTTTGGCAACATGTTCTTCCCACATTTAGTTATCATAATAATGATGTTACTTATTTTTTTTTATTTGGGTCATGCTGGAACCTCCCTTGTTTCAAAGTATAAAGAACAGTGCAGCTTTGGAAGAGCCCAAATGTCCTTTGTGATCAGCTTCTCTTATTAGAAAGTGCCCAGTGGGAAAACTCATTCTTGCCTGATGCTAGAAAAGCCCAGCTCCCCCAGCCTCCTTTCACTAGTCTTGTGATCCAGTCCAATGTTGGTGATGCTTGCTTGAGTTTATTCAAGTATTGAGGGCTCCAGAACTGTTCACAGTATTCAAATGTGGTATAATAAATGCTATTATGGGAATAATCACTTTCCTTGATTAATGGACTACACTCCCACAAATTTAAATGCAGTACTCTAGTTCAGTCAAGAAGACAAGCATAAAGAGAACAGAGAACTTCAGTGAACTAAACCAATTTTGGAGATTGATTTCTCTAACTGCTGATAACAGGTACTCTTCTCATTTACCCAGTTCTATCAGTGTTTATTCCAACATTTCAGATACAGTCTCTTAATGCCTAAAATCTTCAGGAGTTTGAAACACTTCAAAAAATAGACTTAAAATGAGCTTTACAACCTGATTTCCAGTTTTTCTCTTTGTTGCTACCCACTGAAAAGTTACAATTACTCTCCTAAAATTATTGGCTTATAAAAATAACATTTAAGAGTCAGCAAACTTAGCAGTCCACAGGACAGGGAAGATTTGAGTTAAATTTAATTCCACTTTAGGAACATTCCATGATATTAGCAATTAAAATTAGTATGCCCAATGAGCAGACAGACCTACTTCAGAATTGCAAATTACTTCAGAAGACTATAATTTATTACACTCGGTATTCCTACAGTGTTTGAAATAATGGTGTAGAATCCCATAAGATAAGGGAGCTAATGCGTATGTCTCAAACACCTATAGCCAAATAGCCATGGAGCCAACCAAGGATTGCTGGTAACAAGGGCATATAGCTGCAGAAGGGGGCCATATGAAGGTAGGCCAGCACTTTTCTGGAACAAATGTCCTTGTTCTGGTTCCTGGAAATAAGCACAACTCAGTACAGTGCAAACACAGGGATGAGGTTGAAAAGCAGGAATGTGGACCAAAGGCTGGCCCAGTAGGGGGAGATCAAGACCACCAAAGACCCCAGAAGCCCTCCGACCTATTTGCAGGAAGGTCTAGAAGAACAAACTGCACATGATAACTAATTTGCATAAAAAAACAAGAACCTTATCTCCGTGGTGGGGAAACTTATCTATAAAAAGGTACCCCCACCAAGCCCAGGTGGCATTCCCAGGACTCTGGACACCCTATCAGCTGGATCAATGCTGGAGCCAGGACTGGTGATCTTTCTCTCTTTCTTTCTTTCCTCCTTCTGTCATTTTTTTCTTTCTTCCTTTCTTTCTGTCTTTCTCTTCTCTCTCTCTCTCTCCTGTTATTCAAAATACACTGCTGTGTGTTTAGGCTAACAGATAAGGGACTAACTTATAACAATGTCCATGCCACATGTCTAATTTACTAATAACACTTTGAAAGTTATTGTGGACCCTCTGACTTTTGTTGTTCCTTTTCAACCGTGAGTATCTGTGCACCTGCATGTTCCCTTCCCATTCAGTGTGGGATGCCAGAAAGGGTACCTTGGTCTTGCAGGCCTTGTAAGTAAAATTCATAATGAATATTTAAAAAAAAAAATATTTTTTTTTTAAAAAAACCTGCTCAGATAATTCTCCAATCCGATACTGGATTTTTCATTGCAGTCTCCGAGTGTACGGGAAGACTAGAAAGAAACATAAACAGTGTTTCATGAAAGGCAATACCATATTATATTTGACATAGCTACAGGTTGTGGAACCTCTCAGTTGTCTTTGTGCTGCTATGCACATAAAAGAGACCAGCTTTAGCCAAAATGCTTTTCTATATCCTACGGAAGATGGTATGCAGGGCTAGAAAGCGCAAAATATCTCATCATTTTAGTCTTTCATTTCAATACATAAGCATATTTCATTTCAATACAATTCATTTCATAAGCAATTCAGTTCAATACAAAGTCCTGCTAGTCCTCTAAGGCAAGATCATTACCAGTATTAACAAAGAGGTCCTTTCTCAGGTATAAACTTTCCACTCTCTACACTGAGAATGCCTGCTTTTAGACTCAATAGCAGTCTTTTCAGACTCCTTGAGCCTGTTTGACTTCAGAACATGGTAAAATATAACTGTACTCTGTTGCTAGCACCTCTGCTTCTCTTTTTATTTAAGACCTTGTTTTTGCACACTCCTGGCATAGGAAGTCTTGTGATGATGATACAAGATTCTGTTCCTTAATTCTTGACCTTCAGGCACCCACTCCTTTCCAGTGTCCATAGTTTGAGACAAACTCAGGAAAAGATATAACTAATTCTGGATAAACTAGAATACTTACTACAGTTTAGGTACATAAAAAC